AGACAAGCTACAATTACTGGTTCAGAAAAAGAGTTATCAAACAACTGCTTGTAGTTTGAGATGATTTTTCTCTTCTCTTTCTACCAGAGAGCAGTGAGAACATTGGTTACAATGCTGGCAATTAACGTTGTGCTTAGCAGAGTGAGTATATCTCCTTCTGCCTCTAAAAACTTAGGCAGTCTTTGAATCTGTTACCAGTTCTGCATCTTTAATACTTACATTTGTGACGTGCCACCCTGGTCTGATGACATATCCATCCTTCAGTACCCATTTTCCTTCCCAACCAGGTTTACTTGGCAGGGGTGTGAAGAAACCCCTAGTCTGCAGAGCTGTCTCTTAATGTTTGTATTCTTAAACAAAACTTCCTATAAAATGATAAGAGACATATCCAGTCTAACATGCAGAAGGTCTGGGAAGCTCCATTTCACTGTTCTTCTACAGGTGATTTCAGTCTTCACATATCAGCAAATCTCTCGTAATTGCTCAACTGAGTGACGCTCAGAAGTGAGGAAATTAAGCAGTATGTTTTTTATGTCAATTTATATGGCATACTGATTGCTTTTTGACAATTATGGGAGTAACTGTAATTTTTTTTTTTTTTTTGTAATGAACTATTTTTTAATCAAATTCCTGGCAATGAAAATATTTTATGTCTCAATTTAAGTATTTGTTGTATTATGAATTACAGTATGTGAGTTTGATTTATTAGTAAAATAGTAAAAATGGAGACTATTGTTTGCACAACTGCTTGTAGAATTAGCTCCTTTTCTCTTAAGTCTTCAGATGTTTCATATGATTATTTTAGGGCTATAAAACATACATTTTCTGTAAAGATTTTGGAAGTGACTTAGAATTTGAAATAGTTTAATGGGAATACAGAAAAAAAGCTTAGAGAAAGTTGAAGTACAGGAGTAGGTGTTGAAAGGAGACAGCAAGTTACTTGAAGGCTTGAAAAATGTCTTGCAGTGAAAAACTTAAAATAGAATTGGCTAGAAATGCTTTGATGGAATGTTTTTCAGCTGATAGTATCTATTCATCAAATTGAAACTCTGCTGGAAGGGATCAATTTTCATATTCCTGGTTTTGAAATGTTTCCAGCAGTTTCAAAGTTGTTAAAACATCCTGCTTCGACGTTTTCTAAATTAAAAAACAACCAAACAATTTTCAGTTCTAAAAGCCTTCCTCTCAAAATATGACCTAATTATGACAACAATCTCTAAACTGAACTGGAAATATTGCAAATTACCCAAAAATGAATTGCATTTTGTTTTTTTTTTTTTTTCATTTGTGATAGATCATCAACATTTTCAAGAGTTCCACTTTTTGTCAGGCTTTGAGAATGGAAAAATATTTTGTACAGCTTGATTGAAAATTCAGCTGGTTCAATTTATCAAAAAAATTCATTCAGTGGGGTATACCTCTATATCAATATATTAAATGCAGTTATGAGCACGTGCATTGGGTTTGCATAGCAAGGTTCTGGCAGCGGGGGAGCTACAGGGGCAGCTTCTGTGAGAAGTTGCTGGAAGCTTCCCCTGTGCCCGACAGAGCCAACGCCAGCCGGCTCCGAGATGGACCCAGCAGTGGCCAAGGCCGAGCCCAGCAGCGATGGTGGTAGCACCTCTGGGATAACCTGTTTAAGAAGAGCGGAAAAAAGCCTTCACAAGTGCAGCTGAAGGGAGGAGTGAGAACATGTGAGAGAAACAACCCTGCAGACACCAAGGTCAGTGAAGAAGGAAGGGGAGGAGGTTCCCCTGCAGCCGGTGGTGAAGACCATGGTGAGGCAGGCTGTGTCCCTGCAGCCCGTGGAGGTTAATGGTGAAGCAGATCCCACCTGCAGCCCGTGGAGGTTAATGGTGAAGCAGATCCCACCTGCAGCCCGTGGAGGTTAATGGTGAAGCAGATCCCACCTGCAGCCCGTGAAGGTTAATGGTGGAGCAGATCCCACCTGCAGCCCGTGGAGGTTAATGGTGAAGCAGATCCCACCTGCAGCCCGTGGAGGTTAATGGTGGAGCAGATCCCACCTGCAGCCCGTGGAGGTTAATGGTGGAGCAGATCCCACCTGCAGCCCGTGGAGGTTAATGGTGGAGCAGATCCCACCTGCAGCCCGTGGAGGTTAATGGTGGAGCAGATCCCACCTGCAGCCTGTGGAAGACCCCACAGTGAAGCAGGTGGATGTGCCTGAAGGAGACTGTGACTCTGTGGGAATCTCGTTCTGGAGCTGGGTCCTGGCAGGACCTGTGGACCCATGGAGAGAGGAGTCAGTTTGCCCGCAGGACTTGCGACCCCATGGAGTACCCACACTGGAAGAGTCTGTTCCTGAAGGACTGCACCCCGTGGAAGGGATCCACACTCGAGCAGTTCACGAAGAACTGCAGCCTCTGGGAAGGACTCCCATTGGAGGAGCTCATGGAGGACCATCTCCCAAGGGAGGGACCCCACACTGGAGCAGGGGAAGAATATGAGGAGTCCTCCCCCTGAGGAGGAAGAGGCAGTAGAAACAACACGTGATGAACAGACTGCAACCCCCATTCCCTGTCACCCTGTGCTCCTGGCAGGGAGGAGGTAGAGAATTCAGGAGTAAAGTTAAGCTTGGGATGAAGGGAGAGGTGAGGGAAAGGTGTTTTAAGATTTTGTTTTATCTCTCGTTATCCTACTCTGATTTGACTGGTAATAAATTAAATTAAGTTTTCCCCAAGTCAAGTCTGTTTTGCCCATGACGGTACTTGGTGAATCTCTCCCTGTCTTTATCTTGACCCATGAGCCTTTCATGATATTTTCTTCCCCCTGCCCAGGTGAGGTGAGCGATAGAGTGGTTTTGGTGGGTACCCAGCACCCAGCCAGGGTCAGCCCATCACAGACCGTTCTCTGGCACCGAGGCCAGCTTGTGTGTAGGAGCCTCTCTCCATGTTATTAAAGTCTGTCTTCTTCTGAAACAGAAGGGCCAGCCACATCCAAACCACCTATTAAGAATGATCATCAGCCTGCTCTAGTTCCTGACCCATGCCCAGGAATTGTCTGGGAGGGTACGAACTGGCCCAGTTTGAAACTGTTCCAGGGGTGGGTATAGGCAATTGCGTTTCAAGTCCTGGTTTTGTTTCCTGGTGTAGTTTATTTTATTTGTATTTTGTATGGGCATGTTTTATGAAGCATGTCATATCTTTCAACCCCTCATGCAAAGACATGAAAGAATATCAGGGGAAACAGCAGATTAAACCAAATAGTCTAAGAATCCCTACGAGGGGTAAATTATCTAGAAAAAAGCATATGTAAAAATAGAATTTGTTTATTGCGTATTATTATATATAATTATGCATCCATTAATTTTATGGAAGCATCTCATCAGAATTTGCCATATGAATTTCTCATTAAGGTGGCATGTGTTTTCCAAGGGCTAGATTTTGACATTTAACTACAGGCAGAAAAGGAAGACACCTTTCTCAGGACTGGCAGGAAACAGCCAAGGAGGCATACTTCTGTTCAAGGCAGGGCAGCGCCTTGTGCCAAACTCTTCAAACCAAGAAGCACATTCCCTGCCAATTCCCTCATGACACTGGCCAGGACATATATCTGAAGCAAGGTTGAGCAGAACCATATCTTTCAAATTTTCAGACTACAAACATTTTCTATTTGCTTTTGCTCTTCTCACACGTTTTCGTGTTGGATGGGCCTTAAGTTCAGTGTTTGTTACGGAGAGATCTATCTGAATATTATATATTAATAAAGAAAACATTCTAAAATTTCCTACTGGAATCTTCATTGCTCAAAGGGACCTGTGAGGTACATACTGTTCCATGGAGCTGGTACATACCAAGAGGACTATTTTTTTCAGCCCGTGACCCTCTAGAAAAAATATGCTTGAACTCTCCTTGCACTTCTTCACTGGTTCAGCTTAGTGGACTGGAGCTATGGATGCAAAATATCAGCTTTTAAACTGTCAAAACTTGTTGTAACTAGGAGCAGCAGCCATTACATGAGGGACGTTTAATCAGGATTTGTTGAATACTTTTAAAGCATACAAAGGCTCTTTTCAAAAGGAAATATTTGGGGTTGTTTTTTCTTTTTTAGTTATATTTTATAATATTATATGAAACTGAGAAAAATCAAACTGTAACATGTCACATAGACTAAAACTCCTTATTAGGACTCAACTGGGATTTCTGGTGATCCACCATCTCCTAAAACACAAGTCTGTTCACAGAATTTCATTGGCATGAAATCTATTCTATTTTTTGCTGTGGTATTGGCTACGCTTATTGTGACAGAAAAAGTCAAATATAGGGCAGCAGATATGGCTAAGTGTACAGTATGGTCACTGTACAACTCAGGGCATTATGTAGTGTACTCTGAAGCCAGCTGTATTTTCAGAGCAGAATTTTAGATACTGATGTATATGTGCTGTCTTGGTCTAACACAGTCCTGGTCCAGAGCTTAAGATTTAACCCTAGAAATTTCTTATTTATGACAGACTATATCCTGTTCCTATTTATGCCACTTAAACGTTAGGTTTTAAAATGTTTCTGAGGCAGTTAGCATACAGAGTCAGAGGTTTGGCAAGTCCTGAAGAAATCTGTGTATCAGCACGCAGTTTAGAACTGGCCTATCTTCATATGCACTTACAGAAAATGTTGACTGTGGTTTAACTTTTTCAGAAAGATGTGTTCCTGAGCAGACGGCCTTTGACAACAATGGCCAGGAGTTTTGGGGACCATTTGGGTAGTCCCTTACTTCCTGAGAAGTCTGAGTGCGTGGCTAGTGGTACAGATACTGGCCTCTGGCCTGAACAACAATTAATGAAGTATTTGTGAAATAGATATTAGAGAATTTTAACATTTTAAAGGTAAATATAAAAAAGGAAAAAAAAAATAAATAGGACTTTAAAGCTCTACGCAAGATAATGATCAAAATGCTTCTATCTCCTTAACTGTGTAATTTTAAATTATTTTTTTTTCTCGTCTTGTTTGTCTGTCATGGTGATCTTTGTTTCTGCTTCCTTGCAGACATCTCAGTCAGTCTGCTAGCAGTAGTCGTCAGCTTCTGCGGGCTCGCCTTGCTGGTAGTCTCACTTTTTGTCTTTTGGAAGTTGTGTTGGCCCTGCTGGAGAAGCAAACCCCTCACTTCCAATGCCAGTAATGTCCCTCAGAGCAACTCCAGTGCTCCTACGGAGGTTTTTGAGACCAGTGAAAAAAAGGAAGTTAAAGAAAATGAGAAACCTACCACAAAGGTACTTGAAGCTGCATTGAAAATTAGCCACACTTCACCTGATATACCAGCAGAGGTCCAGAACGCACTGAAAGAGCATCTGATCAGACATGCACGCATGCAGAGGCAGATCACTGAGCCCACATCGTCATCAAGGTAAGTCAGGGGCACTCGTGTTCGTGGCACTTTTCCTGGGAACAAGTAGAGCCAGAACTCTGCTGAATATTTCCACTGGATTATTCACTGACTTCTTAGCAGTTATGGGGTGAAACAGCAGTCACGTGAAGGCAAGGCCTTGGTGTCCTTTGAACAGAATATTCTGAAATACACATTTTAGCTTCGGTTAGATCTTATTTTAACATATAAAGATCAAATTTGTTTTCTGCTACTTTGTAAATACATATGTTGCTACTTTAAGCATTTCCATTTTAGGTTTTGTGTATCAGAAAATCTACTTCAGTGCTATTTTTTAAAGTACTACAAGTCTAGCTTTTCACAGAGATATTTTTATAGATACAACAGTTGCTTTTGCAGATTAAAGTTTCCCTCTCCACTAAATAAATTACAGATTCGTTGTTGACAGCACATTTCTTTAAAATGTGGTTTTCTAATTACAAATAGATTAAAAACCCATTGTAAGAATGGAGATTCTTATGGACTGATCTTAAAACAGTACAGGTTCTATATAGATCTTTAAATAAAAGGCAGACATGTAGTATTCCTGAAGTGATTTCTTTTGTATTAAAGTGGAGGACACAAACTTTTATTTTGTCTTAGGTACTGCTTTATGATGAAAAGTAGTGAAGATGTGTGCAGTGACCTGTAGTTTCAATGGGGATTTTCTTCGAATACTGTCAGCAAATTTAATGCATGGAAAGCAAACAATGAACTGCAAAGATCACTTTCTATATATGAGAGGGGTATGTTTTATAAACAAAGAATGGGAAAATGAAGGCTAACAGAATCACCTGAAGTACTGTGTAATGCCATAAGTTAGAATACAAATACTGTATAGGAAGTAGCTTTCCCTCAATAAATCATTTGCTAAATGAGCACATGCTAACAGAGGGAAAAAAAAAAAAAATAATAAAAAAAAGGCTCACGTTCACGATAATCATTGGAGGTGCAAGACTGGAGAAGACACTTGCTTTACGTTTAGTGGGCACATACTGTGCTGCCCTACTGCGAGTCCCTAAGACAGCGTTTTGCCAGCTGAGCACTCTCACTGCGGCGGTGAGTGCTGCAGTGCTTTTTCCCAGCTATTCCAACAGCGTGGAACAGCCAACAGGCAACTACAGGAGGCTCCCCAAAATGAGAGCGCTCCAGCCAGGCGAGGTCTAACTGCCTTTAGCAGCTGAACCATCTCCTGAATTATGAGACTGTACAGCTGGCTTTCAGCCACGTTGCCCTGGCTGTGTCTGGCTCCAGCTACTCTATCCCTCTGCTGAGAGAGGGAGCACAGTATCTGAGCCACTCTGAGGAACATTTCCAAAACTCTGGGATGACAACTTGGAAACTGTAACTGTTATACTAAACACAGAGGGACCCAAATTGGTACAGCTTAGCATGACACATCTCGCTGTTACCTAATAGGATATTAATTGGAAGAGTTTTAGCCATCATGCACAACAGGTAAATTTGTAGGTAATCAGACTGTCTGAATCCCCGAATTGACAGAAGAAATAGCTGGCTGGCAAAAGGACTTGAAAAGTCCCTGTGGTACAATAGGGGAAGAAAGAAGTTCCAGGGATGTGATCCAGAGCTACTTCAGGCTGTGAAAATATTCAAACAGACCCCTAGAGTGATTTGGACTGGGTTCTAAATGCATATAAAATACCTGCGATGCCAAGGACAGTTTTACAAAATTAAAACCTGCCATCAATCCTACTCTTTCTGCATATGTTGGTAACTTTGTAAGGGAGCTTTTTCTTTTTATCCTCTCTAGATTATCAAGGTTAAATCTTCTGAGATGGACAGTTCCTTTGCTTTGAGTAACCCCAAATGTCCCACCTTAGCCAATTAATAGCAGAGTGTTTGGACACATCACCTTCCTTTACAGTTTGCTGAAAAACTCTGAACCCTTGCTACAAAACATGTTGAAAATGAGATGTGTCTTTAAAATTACCCAGAAATAATCCTTTCTGTGTTTGTAATTGCAATTCTTCTATACCCCTGCCTGCCTTCAGGGATTCTTAACCTTCTGACAGCCCATATTAATTATTGCTTCCGGGAATATCATGTATGAGATGAAGGCTGGACACTTAGACCAGATTTCTGGATTACTCCTCCATTGTGTTGCAGAATGTTGGATCACCAAATAACTAAAAGCTGACTCTGGTGTCCTTCATTGGGGACCTCTAAATAAAAGGGAGCCATTAGCATTACTTTCTCTTGCACCATCTTTGATACAGCACTGCTTTGTTGTACTCAGGAGTCCTGAGTGATCCAAATGCACCATCTCCGAAATGTATTCCATTGACAGAGGATCAAAGAGAAGTGTTTGCTGTCTGGATTGTCTCCTTTAAACTGATATCACCTGATCTAGAGCAAGAAAAAAGGGTTGCAACTAATTCTGTGATAGGTTCCTGCAGCCATGAGCTCTTAATTAAAAAAAAATTGAATCATATTAAGTCATTGCAGCTGAAGCATAAGGATTTTAAGAAGCCATTCAGAGCAACAATAAAATGTGCCTGATCATTTTTTATAGACTGTACATTTAACATGGAGGCATGTTAGTGTAGTGAAATAATGCATTTCTGCTTAACTAGAACTATATAATTTTCATAGTTCCTGATAATATGAGAAGACCTGCTTGTTAAAAAAAATACATACATACATATATATATATATATATATATATCTTTAGTCCTTGATCCCAGTTAACCGGTAAACTACAATAGAATATGTCCTGCATCAGTGGTATTCATTTACAAACATCTTTGTTCTGTGTTATTGAGAACCACTCTTCCCAGTACTCTGTGAAAGTATTCTGTGATATAGTTTATTGCTTCTATGATATTTCCTTCTTCAAATATTCACCTGTATTTTCAGAGGACATGCTTTTTGCTCTTTAGTGATAGGTGGGAGAAGAGCTTGTCATTCAGCTCTGCAAAGAGTAAGTTGGTTCCCAAGAGGCACAAAGGCAAAAGTGAGGTGCTTGGGAATGTTGAGGTTAAAGGAAAAAAAGCAGGTCTGTTGACTTTAGTGACTGCAAGGAGGAGACAGCAGCCTCTGTTCTGTCTAATTGCCACAAGTGCTGGTGTTCATTCCTGGATTTGGTCCAAAAGATTGGTCTAATGTCATCTAGGAAAGCTAGACCAGAGACACCCCTCATAAATCTCAGTTGTACCATAAATCAGCATCCTATCCTTCTCTTTCGTTGTACATATGCCAGTCTTCCTGAGTTAGAAATGAGCTTCATACTATCATTATTCCTATGCAAACATAATTTTACATTAGAGATTTACACACAGATTTACTGTCACTCAAAATGTATTTGTTCTAAGTTATGGAAAGCACATCTATTCTAGCAGTGCTATATGTAAGAACCAGTAGAGGCTGAAGTACCTGGATTTGCACACATTAGTAGCTTCACAGCATTTTCACAACCTAGTTGCCTGACATCCTTGTACTTCATTATCACAGTCATTAATTCCTTTGTTATTGCAGAACAAAGGAAGATAAATATGTTGCCATGACAACAGTGAAGCATCTTAATAATTAACAGACCAATTAGCTATCTTGGTGAAATGCTGTGACTCAGAACAGATACTAGGCCCTATGTAATTAGCACTTTGGCTTACTAGAGCAAAAGTGCTGCTGGTTCCCACAGGGAACAGCCATACATCTGCACTATTTTACTTAGTGACATCTCGCAACAATGACTGCATCCACTAGAGGATCTTACATGCATAAAATTTGAAATTTGAAAATTTGAAGGAAGGTCGGTACCTTAGAAATCATAGATTTGGGGCTTTTTATGTTAATTTTACAAGTATTAACCCAGATCTTCATAAACGTGAGAGAAGTCGAGGAAAAGAGAATTTGTCATGTATCCATTTTCACCCAAGCTGGAAATGCCACACAGTGAGCTTCGCTGTTTCCCCTTCACAGACAGTTTTCTGAACATGTTTGAGCATGATTATCTGGGCATGTCAGGAGTACAGCTGCAGGCACGAGGAGCACGCGGGAAGGCCTGCCTGCACAGGTTTGTTAGCACAGATCGAAGCAGCAGTGGCACAGGTCTTGCTGGACTCCGTGATGAGTCAAAGATACCAGAGAACTAGTGCCCGAATTGCTGCATGCCCAAACATTTATTGCCACTAGACTTTGGGTGGAGTTCAGTTCCTTCCCTGTGTTTAGCACACCTACAAGGCTGGACTTCTCAGAGGACAAAGGCACAAGGACAGCCCTGAAACTCCCCGAGTACTTTTCTGACTAGTTAGGGCCTTTCCACTCCTCACTCCATTCCAATGTGGGCATCGTATACTATGAATTCAGGGAGTTTTAACACTTAAGAGAAAATAAAATCTTTCCACTTGTCTGTCTGTAATAAAAGAAAGGTAGAATGTGTTACGAGAGGAGTATTTTTCATCTAAATTTGACGTCAAAGCACCTGGATTTTTTGGAGCTACTTCAAATCTAGACTAGGAGTTTCTCCCTCCCCTAATCTTGTGTTATGCTAGGACTGCTCCCTGCACCTAGCAGTACTGAAACAGCTGAAAGGGGAGATGTTCTTGTCTATTATTTAATGGCTGCAGATTACCCTCTTATATCTCTGCTCAACTGAACTGAAGTAGTTTTGCACTTCATGCCTTCTGCAACCACTTCACTTACAGCAAAAATACAAATAATATCTATGAAATGAGTCCTGGTTGCTTTCAGATGGACAATTTGCATTTCTGATTTAAAGAAAGAAACACACAGCTGTGACACCTCTTGTTTTCAGAACACAACACCATAGGGAAACCAAGCAATAAGGCAAGGCTGCATTTGGCATTAATAAGCAATTGATTGCAAAAAGCAGAGGAAATTCTGACAATTAAATTGTTTTTTAATGGCAACTAAGTGTGTTCACAGGAGGAGGCAGTGAGCTTTTCCAGTACAAATTGTCGGGGTAGTGAAGTACCAAGGAAATGTGAAAATGTCCAAAAAATAAACTGGACAGTGTGGTCATAATGGCATTTGCTGATGATTAATTCTATGAAGATTTTTGACCAGTGTTTTTATACTACTGTAAGGCTGTATGGCATGCCAAGGGTTTGATTTCACTCTTAGTGGGAAAGGCACAAATTTCCATTGATGTTCATGGGTCAAGGTAAGCCCACAAATGCATATGTTTATACAACACTGTATTCAGAATTACAAGGATTTAAACATATTGTTTCTTGCTAGGCGTACAGGAATCAGCTTTCTAATACACTACACAGCAGACTGTGAGAACAGAAGGAAAAAAACCTATCAGAGAAATGGTGACCAAAACTTTGAAATGTATTGCAGCCAGAACAAAATGTTCCGAGTATGACTGGAGAAGGCAGCCTGTACCTCAGTGTAGCAAATATCAAGCAGGTGTATGTAGAATGTTGTAGGATGGCAATGCACTGTGCTGAAAACCTCCAGATGTAGCTCTGCATGGCCTTTTCAGGCACCTTTCACAGTGATTAGGATGAAGTTTGGTAAATCTTTCTTTAGAAAACCACCACGGAATGTCTCCAAAACCCAGGAAGTTCTGATAACAGTTCTGCAAGTGATTTTTTTTCTGCCTGACTATACTTTACTCAGGCCCTAGCGCAGTGGGATCAAGCTATGTTGGAACTGTCAACTTGTTCTGTGAAAGAACCTGAATTCAGTTTCAGTTCCATAGCCTGCAAACAAGGTTATAAATATATGTATTGCCAGGACACTGGGTGGCTCTCAGGCCAAGAAGTCCTTTCTGAACGATCATTTCCTCTCAAGGATGTTTCAACATTTGCAAAACATTTTTTACTTTTTTTTTTTTTTTTTTTTTTTTTCCAGGGCAGGGGGCTGTGTTATTTTAAAATTATTTTAAAGACAGGAACCTTTACTAATTTGGTCTTCTTGTATTTTCTACTTAGTAATAGCCAGGTCTTTTCCTAGAGATAACCATGGCTCATTTTGTGTGTGTGTATGTGTGCAGGCACAATTCTTTCAGGAGGCACTTGCCAAGGCAGATGCAAGTGTCCAGTGTTGATTTTAACATGGGGACAGATCCAATTTTGCAAAGGGGAGAGACGACAACCAGCATTGGGAGAATAAAACCAGAACTCTACAAACAGAAGTCTGTGGATTCTGATGGGCAACAAGAAGATGTGAAAACATGTGGAAAACTTAATTTCACTCTCCGGTATGATTATGAGAATGAACTTCTGGCTGTCACAATTGTCAAAGCCTTAGATCTGCCTGCTAAAGACTTCACAGGAACATCCGACCCCTACGTTAAGATTTATCTGCTTCCAGATAGGAAAAAGAAGTTTCAGACACGAGTTCACAGAAAGACATTAAATCCTGTTTTTGATGAAACCTTTCAGTTTCCTGTAGCCTATGATCAACTCAGCAACAGGAAATTGCATTTCAGTGTTTATGATTTTGACAGATTTTCTAGACATGACATGATTGGGGAAGTTATTCTTGATAACCTTTTTGAAGTCTCAGATCTCTCCAGGGAAGCCAATGTATGGAAAGACATCCACTGTGCCACCACAGTAAGTAATGTGTTCTAAAAGCGTTAATGTGATATTTTCATTTCTCTTTTGTAATTTGTGGCAGAGCATCCTGTTTATCAGCAGAGTGTGGAAGAAAAAAAAAAAAAAAAAAAGCTTTCAATATTTTCATTTGATCACAGAGAATAAGATGCTTAGGAAGCTATAAAATTTAATTACTAAAAAATCTTCTGAGAACATACGGTCATCCTTATGGCTCACTGTGCAAATATAAATTAGGTTTATTAATTAAATAGTACATCATGAAAGTCACTGCTTAACAAGAACAATTAACATTTTCCTGTTAGCACAATAACCTGTCCTTCAAAATGACCATCTATTAAGGAACAGGGCCTGTCCTGCTCTTGTTAGCAGGTTTTCATAGGTTGGGAATCTTGTGAAGGAAGAGAGGTAGGATAAAAATGCTTGAAATATAAAATGTTCTTTGCTGACTGCCCTGTGCTTAGGGTCCCAAGTAGATGTATCTGTATTGCTGCTGGTTACTAGAAAAACTCAAGAGGCATGAGCAAGTAGATTTAGGAGATAGAAATTATTTGTTTATTGTCGCAAGCAAGAAAAGGAGGCCTGTGCATGGATGACAGGATGGATGACAGGCTACCAGCAGAAAAACCACCAGTCCCCAAATATTGTCTTTATTAACCTTGAAATCCAAACTTATCTTCCCTGTCTGGAATTTGAGGGGAAAATAATAAAAATTAAATGGTGGAATGCGGGGTGCTTTTTTTGGTTTCATTTTGTCTTTTTTTTAAAAAAAAAAAACTACTATGCTATTTATGTAGAAGTTTTCCCATCCCTAGTTCTGTGGAGATATCCAAACCAGCCTGAATCATCCCCGTGTTTGAGCATGGGCTGGACTTCCACAGCAGAGATGGACAGAGGGCAGAGCATCACCAGGCACTGTTTCAGTGACTGAAGCTTCACACCATCCCTTCAACAGAGCCGGAGACTTCCCATGCCTCTTTTGCCAAATGTTTTCACGCTGTTCACACCTGCTAGACAGGGAAGTCTAGGCCTGCATGACTAGAAGGACAAAGACGACTGGTATTTCCTCACCAGCTTGAGGGAGAACACTGTGTTTCCTAAGAAAGGAGAAATATTGGGGAGCAGAGCATAGTTGAGACAGTTTTTGAATGTGAACTCACAAAAACAGCTGAGTCTGCCAAACTGTTCTGAACAGCCTTCAGCACACCTCCAGAAAACCACATCTGTGTACGTTTAGTTTGATCAAGATCAGATTTCAAGTAAATTTAAGAACTGTTTTCTCAAGCTTAAAATTGAATCTGTGTCTAAGGTCTTGGAATAATAGCCCAGTAATTTTTAAAATTTCTTCTAGCTTTGATATTATCTTTAGTAATGATTTAAATGCTCACTGGTCCTTTGCAACAGGATGTGTGTGAGATTTTTAGCTGATAACTAGAATGGTTTCAGCAAATTAGAATCCCTGGACTGTTCATCACTGGTTTTGAGCAGATTGAAGTGCCATACCAAATTATGCAGTTGGGAAAGATACCGATATGCATCTGGATATCTGAAAATGGTTGCTCATCTTGGCACTGAATTCTAATTCAAGTTTCTTCCCCACTAAAGGCTAGTACATGCAGTTATAGTGCTTAATTCACTCTGGTAGTGTTTTACTATGTATGAAGTCTAAGAGAAAGACGAAGTTTTTGGTTTTGAGCCTTTTAGCTAGTATAGTTTGCAGTATTCAGTGCTTATGAATAAGTTGTCTCCACTTAAACCATTAACAACAAACACATAAAATTGAGATAACTTCTAGTATTGGGTGACCACATCAGCTTTCATAAGCCTTACGCTATTCTCAGAAAACTATATAAGAAACTGGTTTAATTGATTTTTCCCAGCAAAATGAAACCCTCCTATAAGACATGCTGTTACTATATGTGCAATGTGCTGCCTTGTGTTTTACTTCAGCTTTTTCATGTAGATTAAAATTGGTCAGTAATAAAGATTTCTAGTTCTGCCACTTCAAAAACTGTAAGATGAGGGAGCCAATCCTGCACATGCTTAAACAGTGCATAAGATGTTAATCAATGGGGAGTTATAGTCTTAAGCACCAGATCTAAAGTTTACCAAAGTCACTAACTAGCAATTAAAAAACTAACTAATGCTTGTGAGAGTCAATTAGACTTGGATTAAGCCTTGAAAAAAAAATCCAGCTGGTTCGACAATTAGTGAAATATAAATGTACTCCAGGCAAGCGTGCTTTGGTGTTCATAAAGAATCTTTAAAAAACAAACTGTCTGTCTCAGTGGGAAGGTCCTTACTTACACAGTAGAGCACAGGAACCAAGATGCCATTCTGCAACTATATTTCTATCATGCTTTTTCCTTCTTCACCTCTCATCTGTTTTACTGTATGTTCTGTGAAGTTTTCCAGCCTTTTGTTCAGACATGCTTCCTACACACAGTGGTTTGCTCATGCTGTTGCTAAAGGGTAGAAGATAGAAAATGCTAGAAGTTGTAGATCAAAGGATAGGTCCAAAACTTAAAAAACACAGCAGAAGTGGCCTCTCCTCAGCTTTGAGTCTTTTACATCTCTTCCATAGTCAAGAATTTTCTATTCAGAAGGTAGACTGAGGGTAAAAATCATTCCTATGACCTGCTTGGAAAGGACCTGTTTTTATGACACAAGGCTCTGCAGTCTCGGAGCTGAACACCTACTAGACAGATTTGCCAAGGAAATGAACTGCAATATTTTATCAGTGAAGGAAGTTACCACAGGAGATCGAGAGATTTTCTGCTATGCAAAGACTCTCTATCAGCCAATATAATTTGTAAAGGTTTGCTTGCACATCCATAAAGAGTTTTTATTTAGTACAGGAAATACACAGTCTGGGGAAAATCAGACTGGATGGTTGCACTGAGTTCTTTCGGCTGTAAAACCAGTGACTCTGTGGAAATCTACAGTTTGAATACTTTGGTTTTTTTTTTCTCATAATAGTAATTTGAAACTGTTTTATGGAAGTGCAGGATTGGCCCCCCCATACGCTCATTTTTATTCTTATGGTTTTCGAGTATTGATATTTATTCATCTTCTGTAGTTTGTATTTTGTTCCTTTTATTTTTCATTCATATCATTGTTTCTCTGTTATACGTTATGTTGAAAGCCTACAGCTATTGTATACTATGTGGCATGTACCTGTTGTAAGTTATAATGCATTTTCATTTCTTAATGTTAAATTATGAAGGTAAATTTGGTGTAAAATTGGTTGTGGAAAAGAAGTATCCTAGATATCTGATGATATTTATTTCCCCCATTTTTGCTCATACATGGGTGATTGAATTTTCAATAAATAATCCATCATTTACTTTGTTCGTTTGATTAATTAAAAAAAAAAGAAAAAACTCAAGAGGCAGCTTTGGACCACCTGTGAAGGTTGTTCAGTATATTGGAATACTGTAATTCTTAATATACTTTAGGAAATTAATTTATAACATCAGAGGTAAACAAATAATATCAAATGGATTGTTTAGTCAACATATCTAGTTTCTGTTTTTGTGAAGTGCCTGTGAATTTTGCATACATTTCTGTGGGTTTGTTACTATCAAAATATACCACATACTTTAAAAAGAGAAAACTCATTTATTGGAATTGCTAACAAGCACTTAAGTGCAAATAGTGTTGTAAAATTGTTTAGGCAAAAAGGTCACCTCTTGTGATCTAACACTTTCTGAATGTAAAAGTTTATTAACTTACTATTACACTTTTAAAAGTGATTGATTGTTTCAGAAATCTCTGCCTCTAACATCATTGCCTAAAAAAAAATTGGCAAGTGACTGTCAGAAACCTTTTTTTTTTTTACAAACATATTTCTTGAACTCTTTTAGTGTAACAAATTATAGGAAACTATGCAATGGGGGTCAGAATTTAGATGAAAGCCATTTCTAGCACAGTGGTAGTCTCTTGGGGATGTTAGTCATGGAGCTGTCATATATTTGCAGCTACTTGAATTATCTCATGTAGGCAGGGAACTTGATTATTATTTAATTTTCTGACACCAGGCATTTCAGTGCTGCAGTTTTCTTATTTGTGAAGTGGGATATGAAAGGTTTTGTAAGGACAACAGACTTCACGTGATGCCCATGATGTGCGATTGGTGTTTCTAAAGCACTTAGAATATAAGTGAATAGCATTGCTAGAAAAGACAGAAATGTTTAAATACCTTTTTTTAATAAGCAGGACAGTAATATTTGTCTCAGTTCATTTATCTCAAACCCTTGCTAGAGTAGGATGTCACACAGGTAATCCTTCTAGCTGTTGCCCTCTGTTATGGAAAGATTCTTCTGACTTCCTAACCGAACAAGAATGAAGCCCACCACTGCAGTTCATCCAGAGCAGTTGCAGGTGTTATCTTTGCTTAGTTTTCTCCACAGTTCATTATTTTATAAATGGACAAAAAATGGCACAGTAGATCTTGCTCTGAGTAAGGCAATAGTGGTGTAGAGCTGACAAAGATATGTCTTATGGCAGTCAGACTCTGAGGCCACATTACAGGGATTGTTCTATTTCTTACTGTTCAAGGAGCAGCACTATCAGGAAATGTTTTATCACCAGCGATGTAGTGGACTATGCCCTGCAGTTAGCCATTCCCATCAGAACGGACTTAGACTGTTAGTACTTCTGGAAGTGTACATAAAAGGTTTGACATAATGTTAAACAGGTATGAAAGAGTAAAGGCTTGTTAGTATAGAAACATTTATTATCTCTGTAAGAGAAACAGCCCCTTTAATGTCAGGAATAGCTGGCACTTGTCATTTCTACTCAGGGCCAGTGATATAAAGGATTTACGTGATCACCCGATGCTGAGTAGATGAGAGAATACTCTGGGTCAGCCTTTACAGGATACGTGTTAGGGTTTTTCATTTAGGTCTGAGACTGCTTTAGGTCTGTCTGGGTGATAACTAGAAATGATGATGGAGAAAGGGTGGGGTTTTGTCCAGTTGCTGAAAACAAGGAAGGTT